ATCATCCTCCTGCGTTCACACCATCTTCCAACGCTGTGAACGCAGCCATCCCCCAACTCTCTGTGAATCTCAGAGCCATTGATCAGTGACTCATGCATGTTTAAAGAAACAGACATCTGGTCTCCACATCTCTTCCCGATATTGACTGAGCTGCAGCCTACATCTCATATCTGCACTTGCTGGTGAATTAATGGATGCTGAAACTAAAAGGCAGCTCAAGGCTAATGGGATCTTCCCTGCTGTATGCATGAGGCGTAATGGCCTTTTGCTGTGCCTGGTTGTGTCTCATTAAGTAAGTAGAAGATATTTTCCAGTCGGTGCTGAAAACCTGTCATGGAAAACGCATCTCTCTGCTCTGCCTCATGATAAATGCATTGGCATCCTTTTCCCAGAAGAGAAGAGGCTGCTGTGATGATGTGTTGAGACATCCAACATCTAGCTTCAGAACATTTTACTATATTTCTGGCTAAATAAATTTCACCTCTGCTATTTTAGGGATATGCAAGCATAACTGACAGGATTTGGTCCCTGCTTGAAGAGCATCTACAGCTCCTCCAACCATCTGATAAATAATATGACTGCTGTGGGCCTAAATGTGCTAACGCAGCATCCAGGAAGTGAAAGCACCGAATAGGCAGTATGTACATGCCACACATTTCACCTCCACAGTTTATGGATGCAGCTTGTTAACCAAACACCAACCAAAAACTGAGGCTTCAGAAACCGTGAATGACATGCATATTCTGTGCTAAAATCTTACGTCTGAGAAGTTGCTGTCGCCTGAGCCCTTGAAGGACCATTGGACTTTGGCCGTGGCATCCACCTCGCCTCTCATCTTACAGTAGATGCAGCCCAGCTTGAAGCCGTCGTTGACAACAGCCTCTGTGTCCGAGTCCACTTCCACGCAGGCCCCGTGGCACAGCGGAGCTGCAGGGTGAGGGAGACGCAGTTAGTCTCTGTCTCTCGGCCTGTTTGCGGGTCACGGGGTCAGAGGTAAGTGCCGTGAGTGGCCGTCTTCCTCTCTGTCGTGTGCCCGTGACTCGAGGGAAAGGCTGAATTTGGTGTTTTCTCTCAGTACTTGCAGGCAAACTGTCTAAACTGTACTCGAGAAAACAATGCTCGCTGCTTGACTTTTACGTGCTTGGTCCCAATGCTCATTACATGCAAGTTTTTTCTTGCAATTTTTTATTTCCCCTCATTGTTTCAGCTCATAGATGGATTAGATTTGGTAAGTTTGGGTTCTCTGTTTGGCGTCATTTTCACTTCTGGTGTTTTTAACTGAACCTGGGGGGAAATAAAGAGGTTGCAGTGAGCGACACCATTGTCTTGCATTCTGGCCACTGCTAACTGAGCTAAATCCATATATAGAAGCGTGAGTCTATATATGCCATCATCATCATGACACATACTTCTCATCGGCCAGGAGTTACACACCTGCAACTCCAAATGTTTCTGTCTCACACTGCACCTTGCAGTTTCCACTGCGGCCTCAGCATCGCTCTCAACCAATGATCTTGTGCTATTCTCAACTCTCACCTCTGGGAAGCGTTTGATTTGAATCGTAAGATGGTGGGGAGGGGAATGAGGGAGAGGACAGAAACACAGCACACAACGCTGATCAGAAAAATCATTAAACAGCAGCCGCAAAAACGCCGCTCTGTTTCTTTACTTCCTGGGACGTTTAAAAGAAACGCAATCGAAAAGCCACCACACGGAGGGACGTGGAAGGGGAGACATGAAAGAGGGCAGAAAGAGAAGGTTAGCACAGGTATCAGTCGTTAACGGCCATTTCTACAGGAAAAGCACGGGAGACGGGGAAGCAGGAGGGGAGAGGGGTAAATGCTGTATGATGCACTGCAGAGAGGAAAAAAGGGGAGGAAGGGGGAGAAGAGAGAGTTAAAAACACAATTTAAGGCTTCACAAATATAAACCCAAACACTACTGAGCCGACAGCTGTCGCATTACAAGAAGAGACTGAAGCAGACCACAAACCCCCCAGATGGACCCGAGAACAGCCGAACCCGAGCCAGACGGCAATGATTGCAGAGGACTTGGAGAGCAGGGATGAGTGATTACATGAGTGTCTCATTCAAACAAGCTGTATTTGATTTTGGGCAGAAAGCGCGTCGTGATGAGCGCGCTCAGAGAGAGCGGCAGCTGTCAGTCCTGACGCCCGGTTCACTCGTCACGACGTCAGAAGATCTGTTGAACTGGTTCAACGCCTAGCTGTGAGCTGATTTTATTAGTTTGTGTTGTAAACTCATAATTTATGAATGCTCATAATTCAGAGCTCCACCCTCTTATCCAAACAAGTATGCACGCTTTTGGCATCCCCTCCAAAAATGATAGTGTGGCAGACCACTAGGGGGCTCCACTCACACCCAGCGAGAAGGGAAGGGCTAATGTTTTTGGGTTGTAGGAGGTGTTTGCCGCCTTGTGAATTCGGTTGGTTGAAGCCGAGATTAAAGTTGGAGTAAAACGTGGCGAGCTCTCGTGTCGTCCTTACGTACCTCCACAATGGTGCCCGTGTCTATTTTTAATAAGCAGTTTATTACACTTTAAATATACAGTGTGGTTTGGGTGAACTCGTTTACCACCATTCGCCGTCACATGCTCGAGTCTCGGCACCTTCTTCTCATATGTTATTATAAACATCTGAAACAGTTGAATCATGACTTTGCTCTAAAGCGCGGGAGCTCGGGGTTTGGCGGTTTTCTGGGAGGCGAGCCTGCTGAACACCAAACAGGCCTGAGGCAAACGCCGTCTGCACACACACCGCTCAGAGGACAGAAGAAAACATTTTTTCCCTTTCAGATTCATATCTGCTGTAATTGGCTCTCGTCTCTGTTACAAATGCGATCTGATTGTTTGCGTTAATTGCACGCTGCTGTAAGCTGCACCAGCTGTCAGCGCCGCGGCTAATCCTCGCCACCAATAGAGGTCGATGAGAGTCAGTCATCAGTTAATGCCCCTGTGAAATCCCACAGGGGGGGCATCTGCAAATCAAACGATAGCCATTTCTTTCTACAAAGAGGTTCCACCGAGTTTCCAGCTGAGCATTAATGTGCAACAACATTTTGACTCAGGTCTGTGTACTGCTGACTTTACCTGATACAGATTCTACCATGAAAAGCAAAGAAAGGAAACAGGAAGGCAGTAAAGAGACACCAGGAAGAGGACGTGCAGAGACACATAGAAGGGTTTGACATGAGACCTGGAATACAGACAGCAGAGACACATTAAAACAGGAACTAAGCACAGCACAGATCAGGAGGAAGATAGAAGAGAGCGCTCTGGCTGCAGAGCCACAAGGCCTTTCTCAATATGCGTACTTGCGTTGTCGTGATACGTCATCAGTCAGAGACCAAGTACTGCTCCAATTCGAAGTACGCATCAAGCCGAGAACGCAAAAAAGTCCCGGATGCGTTCTCGCTCCGCCCGTTTTATCGAGCATGCATCGGTGGTGACTTGTGTGGACTTGGTACAGCTAAATATCCCAGAATGCATTTCGTCCAAAACTCAAACAATGGCGGACGAGCGGGGCTAAAAACTTTTAAATATTACTCTTTCTGGGTCACAAAATAAACTTTTAAGTTCTTTTCAAGCGAGAATGTAGCTGTGTAAACTTCAAATATTTGCTCGATTTATCAAGATATCATATATTTCCAAACAAGCTCCGACGTTTTCGGAGACGTCTGTGACCCGCCAGCTCCACAGCAGACAGCGAGGTCGAGGAGTATTACAGCCGACGAGAACAGCGGACTCCCGGCACATCGTTTTCAACCCCACCCGCGGTCTTTTCGCTACTCAGGTTAAACAAACCCCAGTAGCTGTCTATTGTATTGAGCGTCCACTAAAATAAAAATAAAAGCGTTCTAACATCTCACCTGCTTGTTGTTATTAAGGTATGTACACGTATGTACATGTACACTATTTTTATTAATAGAGATTTCACTACTGAGGTTAAACATGATATATAAGTCACTTAGATCACTTCTAAA